GCAAAGTGCACGGCGGTAACGGCGTCAGACACACAACAAAATGCCAGCAGCACACGACGTGTCTCACTTTAGAAAATGTCGATCCATCCGCAGTATATATGCCAACAGGCGCGAAGCCAGTGTTTCCTTATTGAGGGAGGTTGTGCCTACTTAGGGTTCATCCCGAAAGTACGTCCGTCATTTGCCGTTGCGAACCTGCCAATGTTCAGCTTCTGCAGGCTCCAATAACGCCTGGTAGGTAGGCAACAGCTTGCCTGCAGTGCATGCGTGTACCGCGGGATGGCCTACCCCGAGTCTCGCAGGCGCCGAGCTTACGCGATTTGCCGAATCAATCTGAGGAAAACGGACGTGCGTTCTGGACTACAAACTGCCTACGCCTACGGCCAAAACATGGGCCCCTTCGAAAAGTGATAGGCCCCCAAATAACATGTATGTTACCCAGAGGTAACCCCATCGGACACTGAAGCAAGCAGGTCGCTTCTTGCAGGGCGCATAGTCGCTGGCCCGTGGAACCCCACCCGACTGATGGAGCTGGACAGCTGTCCTGCTCCACTGGAGTCTCAGGGCTTCTTCTGGAGGACGCCGCCGTCCCCCACCACGCCTGGAGTAAGGGAGCCACGAGGGCACCTCCCCCAGAGTGCACCTGCTGCACAGCGCCCCTCCTCCACAGGACCTGCAGGTCGCGCAGCGATGCAACCGAATGCAACTGCAGTGACGGGACGGGCTGCTCAAGCCTCATGGTTGCGACAGTGGCGGCGCCACCGCAAGGCTGCGAGTGTGACAATGTGATGATACGCGGGGGCTACTGCAGCGGGGTCGGCTCGACTCGGGGGCACCGCAGAGCGATCCCTCATCTCATCGGACACCACAATGTGATGGACTCACTCACTTCCTGCTCATATTGCACGGACACCGACGAGAGGCCATAAACCGCAAAGCATTCTTTCGTTTGCATGATTAAAACTTTTTAAATCGAAGTCTAAGAAGAGGGAGTTTTATTTCCACAGCATAGTTTCTCAATTTGTTTCCATTCGTGCAGAGTAATTGTAGTTAGTACCAGGCTCACCGAGAAGGGGGCCTCCCTGTGCTCCGGAGGTCTGGGGGCGGAGACGGGGGCGGCGG